TATATGACTGAAAGAGAGATACAGACCACATTGTCAATACATCATTCAAAACTAACTCAAAGAATGCCACCTTTCAAGCCAAGCAAGGAAGGCCATTGATGACAGCATTTCTTTTTGCTGCAAGTAACGCGGTGCTTTGAACGAATGCAAAAGAATCCGAATTTCCGATTCCGAAATTCGTTAGCAGTAGTCTGTACGAAATTTTGTTTGTTGGACAAAGTTTCGTTGCAGCTGAGTGACATTTGAGAAAAAAAAAACTTTTTGTCACTTTGCTGCAACAAACAAATGAAACGTAAACGAAACAAATTTGAAACGAAGTTTCGTACAGGTTACCGCTAACGAATTTCGTCCGAATCTGAATTCCGAAAACGAATTGACTTTCGGACCCGAATTCCCAAAAACGAAATAACGCAAAATTCGAATCAAAACAAAACAAACCAATTTTTTTGCTGGTGCTCATGTCTACAGTGAAGGGTAGGTCAACAGGAGGAAACAGGTGACCCAGAAGATTGCCACTCTTGGAAATGTTGGTTTCCCCTCATAATTCAGGGGACGTGAACTCGTGGGCAGAGCAATGTTTAGCAGCACGGACAATGGGTAAGTTAAGCCTTCTTTTATAGGTCACAGAGGTTTTTTATGACCGAGTCACTTTAATGTGGCTGTGTTAATAAGAGATAAGCATACGGTGGCTTACTGGGCCATGGCAGACATAGTAGTGTAGCCACCTTGCCCTAAGTGAGGTGACTTCTGTATCCAGTCTAGATATGTTGATACCGTAGTCTGTGCTCATTTGGCTTCTCCTACGATTGTAACTGCCTGCTTCTGCACGTGATCTTGACCCGGAGTAGAACATCCAATAATGGCATGTTATGAATAGGTGGTCTCTTTAGCCAATCACTAGGAGGTTTATGTCCAGTGGTGCATGCTGGGGGAGGACATAAATATTGGGGACTGACTGTTTGAGACCCTCTTCCCCCCTGAGCCTCCTGCCTGGGGGAGGGTGCGTGATGTGATCTGTTCTATGTGCTGTCCGACCAGGTGGGTTTTCGGCTTTCCTGCCAGTGCAGGAGAAAGCTGTGTTTGGGATGGAGAAACAGGCAGAAACGTTATCTGCTGGAGGTTCCAGAGAAGCTAGGATTGGGCTTGGACCTCGCAGGAAGTATGGTGTCTCGTCTACGAAGTTCTGGGCTATGCCTACTAACCAGCTTAGGATCTACAATACACAGTGTTACTGCAATCAGTTTAAATGCCCTCTGCACTGACGAGCTGGGAAAAAGTTGGTGCGTCTGGAGGCTGTACTGTCCTAGGTGTTTATAGTTCACTATAAACTGCACAGGCTTTTCTGCAGACTCTTACCTGCTTCTGTTCTGCAGATACAAAGACAAGCCTATTGAAGGAACTTCTTCATACAAGTGTTACATGGAAGAATTTCCCCACTATAATCACATGATCAGTCCCAGTGTTTTAGTAACAGAAAATGCTGAATTATTAGCACCCCTGGAGGCAGTGATGAATTTTTGTTGCAGTAAAGTAAGACCTTTAGTTTACGAGGTGGCAATAAAGGGCACTAACACAGACCACTTGCAATATCTTCTATTTAAGTTTTTTTAGCTCACTTTTAGTTGCACGAAAGTTCACCACATCGGATACCCTCACAGGGGTTGTTCAGTACAGCATTCATGCACTGCTTGCAAAACAACACAAGTTTAGCCTCCTGGCTTCCACTCAACATTAATAATTCTGACCCACCGGTCCACTTTGAAGTGCTGTCCCGCACTTGTACTGATGGTCCCTCAGACTCTCCCAGCCTCACCAGTTCTCCCAGCCTCCCTGGCTGTCTTCATGTGCCTTCAGCATATACACCACCTGACTCCACGTTGACTTCTGGGGGAGTCCTTCTGACTTCTGAACACCATCTGTTCCTGTTTCCCAGCAGGAGCACTGAACCCTAGTCAGCACCCTTTCCTTCAGGCTGGGTACACACTGGGTACGGAATATGCGCGTTTGCCGCGCGTTTCATGCCGCGCCTTTTTACAGCGATTTGCGGTAAAAGAAACGCGCGTCAAGCACGCGTTTTCGAGGTCTATCCGGCTGTATCCTAATAGATACGCGTGGAAAATACGCCCCAAAGAAGCTCCTGTACTTCTTTTGGCGTAGGGTGTTCCTACGTGCTGAAATACGCCCAGGTGGGAACGCTCTGTAAAACGCCCAGGTGTGAACCAGGCCTTAGGGCTGTGCACAGCTGTGCAATCATCAAGCGCTGGTCACCACTCAAACATGGACCCAGGAATAGAGATCTCATCCCTCCCAATTCTTTTTGAAATCTCCTGGTTCCAGGATCTCAAGCAGAATGCAGAAAAGAACTGAAAATACAGTTCTTTCCCTGAAAAAACCCTTGCTTCCTGACACCTCTCTGCCCCTCTGGCTGAGAGTCCTGGGTGCTCACAATCCCAAATTCCACCGTGGTATTACCACGCAATAGCACACTATATATACAACTCCTTACAGTTCATTGAAGTATTCATTTAAAAAGTCATACTTTTGTTCAGTTTAGTTAGTATCATTACCAACTCTCCAGGTAAAAGATGAAATGAGGCTTGCAGTGGAAGTGCCTGCTCTCTAAGCTTATAAATGAGAGGTTCTTATGAGGGGTCATAGAAGGGACCAGATGCATATCTACTTTTGTGCCACCGGCATCCTACCCAGCTCCTGGCAACCTGTAATGTCACTGGTTGCCAGGAGCTGGGTGGGACGTCAGCCAGAGTGTCCCAGGTTGCTAAGAGCCAGGCGACATCCCATCTAGCTCCAGGCAACTAGTGACATCACAGGTTGCCAGGAGCTGGGCAGGACGTTGGCCAGAGTGTTCAGTCTGCATACACCTCTCTCAGCCTACTCTGGTTGCTAAGAGCTGGGCGGGGTAATGTGTATGGCACACCTCGCCCGGATCTTAGCAACCTGGGACGCTCTAGCTAGAGTCCCACCCAGCTGTCTCCTTTGGTCAGTGAACTTTCAGTGACCCACAGAGTGGCACCTCCTCATTCAAATGGCGCCCAGGGCATGTGCCATATGTACCATACTCTCAATATGCCACTTAGGCAGGAAAATAAATATGATGTGTATGGCACATACAGTATGTGTAGGGCACCGATGTGCAACCAATATGGTGTTGTCTATTAGTAGTCCACATAGCATGCAAAAGGAGAGGTAATTGACTGTGTCCGCAGAACAGCAAACCATGGCGGTGTACTGTCACCCTCTTGGATCAAAGAGTAATCACTTTGGCAAATTAATATAAATCCTATATATACATACTGTATGTGTTCCAGCTGTGTATTTAATTGTTTGAGTTTTGGAGTTTCCCTTAAAATGAAAAGACATAAGCAACAAACATGATACGTATGTACATCATCATAAATATATGTGTTAGGTCCTCTCACATTACTGTTTATGCATCAACAATCTTTATGGTTCAAGAAACTGATGAAATGAAATGGCTGAATACAAACTTATATTAATTCAGGCTTACTTTGTTCGGAAAATGGTCTCTCGTGCAGAGCGTTGTGCTACTTTCACACCACCAGCGGCCACCGCATTGCGTTATGAGTACCTCCTGATTATCGCTATGCGATTCCTCGCTGTCTGTGAAGGCCACCCAGCTGTCTGTAAACGGAGGAAAAAGACAGTTCTTAGTGAGCATTCACAACTTCTCACATTTCAGAAATTTGTGTTTGATCAAGTTCCTTCTTGTTTTCTTTTTTTGGGCCGGTTAGAAATGTTGTCTCATGACTTGTTTTCTCCTGGATGCAGCAGATCACAGCTTACTTGGATGTATTTGCATACAGGTGAAACAGAAGATTGCACATCGATGTCATCATTACCAAATGATCAGTCACAGTTACACAATTAGAATGTATAGTAAACAAGACCTACCTATCAAGTCAACTGCTATGTGCAGTCCCTGGTTTGTAGAGACTGCATGCTTACCCTCTGCACTAGAGACTACCCTCCAACATCCATTTACACCCTCTATGCTGCCATTAAAAATAAATATGATGTTTTCATGCTTCCTAAATAGGTTCTCTATTTTATAGCCCATAATTATATTACAGGATTTATATAACGCCAACTGTTTGTGCAGTGATTCACAATATAAAGGAAGACATTACAGTTACAATACAATTCAAGAGAAGATGGTTAGAAGGACCTTGTCCGTGAGAGAGTTGTTTGAGAGAGTTGTTTAAGAAAGTAATAGTTCAGTTGTTGGGCAGAGGTGGCAGAGGCTTCCCCAAAGAGATGAGTTTTCAGGGTGCACCTAGGGCAAACGGAGTAGGCGATAGCCGGAAGGATTGGGGTAGGAAGTTCTGAGGATGGGAGAGACTCTAGAGAAATCCTGGAGGAGAGCAAGGGAGAAGTTGACAAAGGAGTTAGAGAGCAGGAGGTCTTGGGAAGAGCGGAGGGGATGTTTTGAGTGATATTTTGAAACAAGGTTGGAAATATAGCTGGGGGCAGAGTTGTGGATAGCTTTGTAAGTGGTTGTTAATATTTTAAATTGTATTCTTTGGGTGATTGGAAGCCAGTGAAGGGATTGGCAGAGGGGGATTGCAGACACTGAGCGGATGTTGAGGTAGATGAGTCTGGCAACACCATTCATGATAGACTAAAGGGGGGATAGCCTGTGTAGAGGTAGGCCAATGAGGAGGGAGTTGCAATAGTCGAGATGAGAAATAACAAGGGAGTAGATGAGTAATTCGGTTTCATTGGTTAGAAAGGGGCATATTATGGAGATGTTGCAGAGATGAAGGCAGCAGGATTTGGACAGTGATTGGATGAGGGTCTGAAAGGTAAAGTCAGAGTCCAGGATTACACCTATATATACACTGAGTGACCAGATTATTATGACCGCCTGACGTTTGTAGGCTAATTAGCTATAATTTCGCGCTGAAGTTGCTAGGGGGCCAGACCATTATAAATAGGGAAGCAGGTTGTTTACCACGACAGTAGAAGTTAATTTTTTTCCTGAAGATATGGGTAAACAACGCGATTTAACAGCATTTTAACGTGGGATGATTGTTGGCACTCGGAGCCATGGCTCGAGTATCAGCAAAACAGCAGAATTTGTTAAATGTTCAAGAGCAGCTGTTGTTGAAGTGTTTAAAGACTGGACTGTCAGCCGAAAATCTGGGTCTGTACGTGCGAATTGTGACCGTCAGCGACTAGTCAATGTTAGGGCAGAACTGAGAGTGGCAAGACTGGTACAAGACAACAGAAGGGCAACAGTGCAGTGTCAGATTCCTTGCATCAGCTTTCAACATCTTGTGGAGTCACGAGGTGGCCCAACTAAGTCATCTCGTCGAGTCATCTCGTGGCCCAACAAAGTACTGATGGTGTGGTCATAATAATCTGGCCACTCAGTGTATATATTCCATTATGTGTCCTTCTCTGATAGTGATATAGATTGTGGTGAAATCCACCAGGAGATATGAAAAGTGAATGGGTGATTCAACACTTTAAAACATTTAGTGTAAAGCAAAGTTATCCTAAGCAGTGCCCTGAAAATGTTAGCTGCTATTTTGAAAAATTGCCAAGAAAGCAGTGCACTTCCTGTGCTTAGGCACTCCCATTCTACAGACGTAACGCTGTATATCTGCAGTGTGAGGTCATCTAAGCCACTGCTGCCCCTAATTGCTGGTCTCGTGAGATTTGGACTGAGATTTGGTGATGTCACAACTGTGCTGCTCACAGTTCTTGCTAGTGAGAAAGCTGTAACTGAGGACCTGCAGACAAACATCTCCCTGCTTCATTATTCATTATATGGATATTTGCTTCATCCACCAAACCTCCTGCTTCTTGATCATGACCCCATCTGTCATCAAATCACCAATACTCAAGGGGGGCATCTAGGACATGAGGCAGCAAAGGCCTCTTTTTATCAAGAAGGCAGCCTCCACATAGACACAGTGCAGAGGAAGGCACGGTAAGCCAGTAATTGGGATGAGATCAGCCACAGGTAGACCACATGGAATACTAGGGACTAGTCTTTTGCCCTCTGTCTGACTTTTCTGGACCCATATTCCACATTACTGGTCCTTTTTAAAGCTCCAAGTTGGTAGGGAAGCACTGATGGTAGAAATTCAAATAAAAAGCACTCCAGCATCAAATTCAGCCAGACACTTATTAAGTCTGAGCTTATTTTGATACAGCGCAACTGGAAGCCAGTGCTTCACCCTCGTGCCACCCAGCTCATCCTAATAACCTCATCATCCGATCCTTTGAGCCAGCCAGCTACGAGAGCGCTCCCTTAAGCCTGTCTCCTCCTTCACTGCAGTATGGTATGTCCCTCTGTGTCCTTGCATCCTTGTAAACAGTGCATTGAATGTGATGATTGACGGGACCTTAGACCACTGCAGCGGTAGAGGAGAGAGGCTCCAGGGATCGGTTTAAGAGCAAGTCGGCTCTGAGGATCAGGTGAGTATAACTTTGTTATTTTCCGCCCTAGACTAAAATGAGCACTAAACCCTTGCACTGCGGGGATGGCCCCACTACAGGGGTAAATAATAATTTTCCCTGGAGTTTTTTTTTAAACACCTATATGGTGCTCTAAACACATTAGGGAAATTATTAAAAAGTGCCTGAGACAAGTTGTATCCCAGATAGTGCGCTTGCCTGCCTGTAGCATCCAATCAGCTTCAATCATTCATTTATTGCACGAAGTTGAGACGAAGTTGAGACAGAGTTTGTCTCAGATCATTTTTTATTAATTCCCCTAGAGGTCCAGAAGTACTACAGATCCCATATGGCACATACAGGGCTGTAGCTACCATGGGGCGAGTGAGGCACTCACCTCAGGCGCAGCTGAGAGGGGTCGCAGCCAGGACCGGCCTGGCTGCTCCCCCTCGCCCCTGTTGCCATGGCGAGCACAGGGCGCCATTGGCAACAAGGTCACCAGGCGGCCAACACAGCCGTGGCTCTGCAGGGAGAAGAGGAGTGGCACAGGCTCCAGCTTCTCCTCAGATACCTACTGCTCTCCCCAAGCTGCTTTCAATCACCAGAAGAGGACCTGATCGAAAAATTCAGGTCCCCCTCTGCTGATTGACAGCAGCAGTGGGCGGGTACATTACCTAGTTTGCTATTGGCTATTGCAAAGCGCACTCTGGGCATGCGCGCCGCCATCCTAGAGGCAGGGCGCATGACATCACTTACCGCACATGTCTGTTGGGGGGCACAATTTTCTGCTCTTGCCTCGGGCGCAAAAGGAGCTAGTTACGGCTCTGGGCACATATTTCAAGACTTCTGCTATTTAAAAAGTTAAAAAGTTTTTTTTTTTTGTTCAGCATTACAAGACTATTTTTGTAGAAATCAGGCCCTTAGCTTTAAGCAGCACTTTGCGTGATGTGAAGAAATATACTTGACAACTAGGATTTTTTCAGTGCTCTATATAAAAATAAACTTGGATAATGATAGCGTGGTGAATGATAAAGGTCAGATAAAGGGAATGCAGAAATCTTTTTGGAGGTTCTTTTTCCCAATTGATTAAAAACATCACCTGTTTCGTATGGATGTAATCTCTGTGTATCATACTGCGGTGCGGCATGGTATTGCATATACACAGTAACACAAACAGATGACAGTACAACCACCAGCTCAGGAATTTCTATCCAGATTATAGGGAACTAAGAGGGCAAACTGCAGGATTTGTGTAGACTGTATATTGTTGCTCAAGGGGGGAATCTGAAGAAATGTTTTAGTGTTGCTGACTGAAATTGCAAAATATTATCTTTATTTTTATCTCTTGCTTTAATGTGCACGTGGACCTGTCTAAAGCAACTTTGCGAGGGCCAACACTATTACTACTGCTAAGATTATGTTGCCAAAATGAATAATCATTTTAGCAGAACCATTTTACCAAAACCATATTACTAGAAGCCAGACCCATGAAGCTAGAACCATGTTACTATGATATAGCCCAATAACCAGAGCTAGCATCATGTCACCATAGACCAGAAATATATTACCAGGATCACAACTGTATTACTTGTAATAGGATGTTGTCAGATGCTGGAACTCTGTTGGAAGCAGAGAGACATACTGTATAACCAGAACTGAACTCTATCACCACAGGGAGAACCCAGTCACTGGAGACCTGTACTATTTTTATAGAGATAAATCTATGGTTGCAGAACTCTGCAGGTAAATTGAAAATAAGAGAACCAGAACATCATAAACTGAATCCCAGTCATATAATGAGAGGAGAACCAAGTTATCAAAAGCCAGAACCACATTGCCAGAATTAAAGTCATACTGTGAGCCATACTGGGAACCATATCACCAGAACCAGAGTCATATTAAAAAGGCTAGAACCTTGTTACCAAAAATCACAATGATATTACCAAACCCAAAGCCACATCATGCAATCTAGAAGTGTGGTACCGAAGACCCGAATGACATCACCAGACCCAAACCATATCATGCAATCTAGAGCTGTTACCAAAGCCCAAGGCTCCATTATAGCAAAACTTATGGTTCTAGTGCTGAGATCATATCACAGAGCTCTAAACCATGGTACACCAAAACTGTTCTATCAGAACCCCATCACCATATTTTTAAAAGCATGAGCTTTTTTTTGCCAAAGACCAGAATCATATAACAAGATGCCACCATGCAAGGTGGAACCTTGTTACCAAAGATGACAATGATATGACAGAACTCGAAGCTATATCAAACAATCTAGAACTGTGGTATCAAAGACCAGAATTACATCACTAGACCCACAAGAAGTAATGGAATCTAGTGGCCAGTGCCACATTATCAGGAGCAGAACTTTATTCTAGTAATGAAATCATAGCACAGAACTTGAAACCATGGGGAACTTAAACTGCACTACTGGAACCACTTCACCATATTTTAAAAAAACAAGGTCTTTTTTTTTTAAACTACAAACCAGAATTATATCACAAGAACCATAACATGCAAGGTTGTTACCAAATAACAGAATTCTGTCAACAGACCCAAAGCAATATTATGCAATCTAGAACTGTGTGTGTGTTACTACATTATCAATTGCAAAACGAAATTCTAGTGCTGAAATCATGTCATAGAGCTCTAAAACATGGGGCACTAACCGTGCTACCAGAACCACATCACTATATTTAAAAAAGCAAGAGATTTTTTACTAAAGACCTGATTCATATCGCAAGAGCCATGCCACTATGCAAGCTAGAACCTTGTTACTGAAGACCAGAATTACATCACCAGACCCAAAGCCATATTATGCAATCAAGAACCTTGTCACCGTAGGCCAGAACCACACTACCAGGACCAGAACCTGTGCTACTAGGCCAAAATCATATCACCAGAGGCCAGAGTCATGCAGCCACAAATAGAGCCGTATTTCCCGAGGCAGATCCGTGTAAACAGAAGTCTGTTACTAGCATTCAGACCTTGTTACAAGAGGTCAGAACCACATTATCAGGACCAGAACTATATTATCAAAGCTAGAATGATGTTACCTAAGGCCATAACCATATTATCCTTACCAGAATTCTGTTACGTGAACTAAAATTATACTACCTGAGGCCTGAGCCATGTTTTCCTTTGCTGGCTTTCTTTATGCTTCGAGTTGTGGTTCCTCCATGGATGGGAGACTAAAGCTAAATAATTACCCTGTTTATATTATATACATACATGTATAGATATAGCTATATATAAGAGAGACCATGATATTTTGGCAGGTTCTTACCATCGGACAGGCATGCATGCAGACCCCTTGTGAACCAGTCACCCTCTTCTTCTCCATCGTTCTGCTGCGTGCCTTGAAATTCACCCCAAAGCACCAAGGACCCTTCTGTCATTGTCACCTCTTCCTCTATCTCCAGCTGTCCTTCTCCAGCTTTGTCTCCGATTCCCAGAGGAGACTCCTCCGCGACACTGACAGCCGATACATAGACTGGGTCTTCGGCATCTGATGCCATAGCGTGTCCGACAATGGTGTTCGTTTTTTTACATGGGGTCTTTTGTGACCCCAAAAACGTCCTCATTCGCTCTGGCTCAGCTGATATTCCTCACAGCTAGCAGCTGAAGCTTACGCCGCATTCAGCTTTCTCCCCCCTCCCTCCATTTTTCTGCGCTCCCCCTGCCGCTCTTTGCCTCTCCGAGGAGAAAAGATGTTTTCTCACATTCTCACAAAAAGCAGCACTGCCACCTAGCAACTCAGCCAATTAAAATCATTATGTGTGTGCAGGAGTGGCATACACAGCTACACGCTGCCTGTCTATAGACACTCACACACAACGCTGTCATTAAACATCAACAAAGCCATTTTAACGGGAAACTTTATTACCAAACCATCCCTTTTCACAATGAAATCATGCTCCCATGGACAGGGTTTGAAGCATCCTTGCACCATGTACATAGTCGGGTCACACAGCCACCAGCGTCTGTAATGTGTATGCAGAGTGTTAAATGAATGTCATTACTGTCAATAGGCTTGTTTAGATGTGTGCGGTTATATAGGCTTCCCAATGCTGTATAGCTAAAACAGGGGTCAGCAACCTTAAACACTCAAAGATCCATTTGGACCCTTTTGCCACAGAAAAGAAAACACCGGGAGCCACAAAACCCTTTTGACATCTAAAATGAAGATAACATGGCATATATCGTTTTTTTCCCTTTAAGCTATGTATAGCATGTATATAGGTATATGTGGGCTTAGTAACGTACTGGGATCAGGGCTTAGTAACGCTCTGGACTCTGGGCTTAGTAACGCACTGGACTCTGGGATTACCTGAGACCCTGCAGAGCACACCATATATCCTGCACAGTCCATCTGAGTGCCTCGCTATGGGGGCCTCTGTAGGGCCTCAGGTGGGCTGGTCGCCGGGGTCCCTTTCCCTGTACCTCCTCCCAACTCCTCTTACCTGCTGCTGCTGGGGCCTGGCCTCCTTCACCCCCTCCCCTGTCACCTCTGCTATGCCGCCCCTGGTACAGCCCCCCAGGCTTATGGCGGTGTTCTATCAAAGTTTGTGACTACGTTAGAATGTGTGATCCTGCCCAATTTTTTAGTGGAATGTGTGATCGCCAATAGGTGAAGCATTCCAGCGCTTTCCCAGGTGTTCCGGGGCAGATCGGCATCGCAGGTGGTATGTGCAGGAGAACTGATCTGCCCTGGAACATCTGTTTTGTCCTGAAATGTCACTTCTATCCGATCTTGTGAGTGCGATCTCACATTCCACCCCCTCACAAAGTCGGATAGAAGTGACATTTCAGGACCGAACAGCTGTATCAGGGCAGATCGGTTCTCCTGCACATACCATCTGTGATGCCAATCTGCCCTGGAAGAGCTCACAAAGCGTTGTAATGCTTGACCTAAATGGGTGGTTACACATTCCACCGCCGAAAAACTGGGCGGGATTACGTTAAAATGTGTGACCACGTCACCGGTAGCGGGACACTGCACTGCCGCATATTCCAGCAGGGGGGTGCCCAGGACCAGACCTCACCGGGCCCCCCCACAGCATCAGACACCGAGGCCCAGGCAGTAGTTCCTCCTCTGGACAGGGAGCCACAGCAGGGGGTTGAAAGAGCCACATGCGGCTCCGGAGCCGCATGTTGCTGACCCCTGAGCTAAAAGAACATTACATGCTGCAATTCAACTGCCCAACTGCAAGCGAGATCATGCTAAAGTACAGAAAAATGCAATAATACATTTTTATGCTCATTTCGAAATTAAAAAAGCAAAAATAAAATGCAAAAAAATAAATCTTAATTTTAAACACACAAGTGTGAATGACTGGTAGAGTGGTTTTCGGCATCAATAGTGTGGTGTTAGGCCTCGGGCTGCAGTTTGCACTCCCCTCTGAAAAGCGATTTGAGGTGGTTTGCTTTTCCAAGGGTGGTGGAGCAACGGCTCCCCGGAGTTTAAATACTTAGTTTATAGATGCATCCCCTGCACGTCTTTCAGTGTCTGCAACCAGTGATGAATGTGGTGCTCACAGTGAAAAACATGGCGCCGTGTGTTCAAGCTTGAAAAGAAAGAAGATCACCAGCACTTCAAAGACAAAATTTCAAATCGTAGTGTTCATTTATTGATATATAGCGTTACATATATCATAATGCCAACGTATAGGGGCCACGCAGGGTCCCTTCATCAGGGCGACATAGTGACAATGTCGCCCTGATGAAGGGACCCAGTGTGGCCCGTAACGTTGGCATTCTGATATGTGATGCTATATGTCAATAAATCAACATTACGATTTGAAATGTTATCTTTGGAGTGCTAGTGATCTTCTTCCTTCTCAAGCTCGGAGTTTAGATACTGTCACTTCCAGAGTGCAGTTCTTTTTTTTAATCCCAGTGGCGATTTTCTATTGCTATACTGCACCACAACCATGTACCCATACAATTGCGGCACAGTGCCGTTCATTGCCATTGTCCTGTTTAACAAGTGGCACCGCCTCTCAAACGCATCATGCTGTATATATTTTTGCGGCCATGGCAATGTATACAGCACTGTTAGGTCTCAGGGCTACCTCTGCAGTGGGTGGCAAAGGGTAGGTGAAACCGTACATCAAGTGCACAGTTTTGCTGCCCCATTGCTGCCTGTGTGAACAAGGTTTTAGGGCAAGCCTTTGTCCCTAAAAAGCAAAGTAAAATCAAATGTTTCTCCAGATCTCCTTGACCTCTAACTTACCCCTAATCCTTAGGTGACCAAAAAGCTGGCCAAAAAATGCTCAAATGTTTGCTGAGTTGTGATGACTCAGAAATTCGAGCAGTGTGTGGCACACCTCATTCAACTTTTGTCAAAGAAGCCGATCTAAAAATCCTCTGCCAATCAGCTGCAGTCACTGTATGGGTATTCTGACAGCGGCGTACCCACTGCTGGTCCCATCGACTAAAATGGCCACGTTTGGCAAGTGGCGACACCTGACAAACGAGACATGCTGTTAATGTTATATTTTAATTGAGCGGTTCTGGGGGTTGTATAAGCATTTGCCCAGCGGAAGATTTATACATCCACCCCTTAGTGTTTCCATTCACTGTTGCTCCCAAGTTTGCTTCTGAATAGCATGCTCTGTATGCACAGCGGGCCATTGGGACATACAGGTGAAACTCAAATAATTAGAATATCGTGCAAAAGTTCATCTATTTCACTAATGCAACTTAAAAGGTGAAACTAATATATGAGATAGACTCATTACATGCAAAGCAAGATAGTTCAAGCCGTGATTTGTCATAATTGTGATGATTATGGCTTACAGCTCATGAAAACCCCAAATCCACAATCTCAGAAAATTAGAATATTGTGAAAAGGTGCAATATTCTAGGCTCAAAGTGTCCCACTCTAATCAGCTAATTAAGCCATAACACCTGCAAAGGGTTCCCGAGCCTTTAAATGGTCTCTCAGTCTGGTTCAGTAGGAATCACAATCATGGGAAAGCCTGCTGACCTGACAGTTGTGCAGAAAACCATCATTGACACCCTCCATAAGGAGGGAAAGCCTCAAAAGGTAATTGCAAAAGAAGTTGGATGTTCCCAAAGTGCTGTATCAAAGCACATTAATAGAAAGTTATGTGGAAGGGAAAAGTGTGGAAGAAAAAGGTGCAAAAGCAGCAGGGATGACTGCAGCCTGGAGAGGATTGTCAGGAAAAGGCCATTCAAAAGTGTTGGGGACTTTCACAAGGAGTGGACTGAGGCTGGAGTCAGTGCATCAAGAGCCACCACACACAGACGGATCCTGGACATGGGCTTCAAATGTCGTATTCCTCTTGTCAAGCCACTCCTGAACAACAAACGACGTCAGAAGCGTCTTACCTGGGCTAAAGAAAAACAGAATCCAAAAAAAAACGACAAACAGCGCTCTCGGGAGGGGGCCCTGAATGAACAGAAAAAAAGAACAGAAGAAAAACAGACCTGGTCTGTTGCTCAGTGGTCCAAAGTCCTCTTTTCTGATGAGAGCAAATTTTGCATCTCATTTGGAAACCAAGGACCCAGAGTATGGAGGAAGAATGGAGAGGCACACACTGCAAGATGCTTGAAGTCCAGTGTGAAGTTTCCACAGTCTGTGTTGATTTGGGGAGCCATGTCATCTGCTAGTGTTGGTCCACTGTGCTTCATTAAGTCCAGGGTCAACACAGCCGTCTACCAGGACTTTTTGGAGCACTTCATGCTTCCTTCCGCAGACGAGCTCTATGGGGATGCTGACCATTTTCCAGCAGGATTTGGCACCTGCCCACACTGCCAAAAGCACCAAATTCAGGTTCAATGACCGTGGGATTACTGTGCTTGATTGGCCAGCAAACTCGCCTGACCTGAACCCCATAGAGAATCTTGGCATTGCCAAGAGAAAGATGAGAGACATGAGACCGAACAATGCAGAAGAGCTGAAGGCCGCTATTGAAGCATCCTGGTCTTCCATAACACCTCAGCAGTGCCACAGGCTGATAGCTTCCATGCCACGCCGCATTGAGGCAGTAATTGCTGCAAAAGGGGCCCAAACCAAGTACTGAGTACATATGCATGCTTATACTTTTCAGAGGTCCAATATTGTTCTATGTACAATCCTTGTTTTATTGATTGCATGTAATATTTTTATTTTCTGAGATTGTAGATTTGGGGTTTTCATGAGCTGTAAGCCATAATCATCACAATTATGACAAATCACGGCTTGAATTATCTTGCTTTGCATGTAATGAGTCTATCTCATATATTAGTTTCACCTTTTAAGTTGCATTAGTGAAATAAATGAACTTTTGCACGATATTCTAATTATTCGAGTTTCACCTCTATAATGAAAGATCTGCATCGCACCTCAAACTTTCCTTTAATGGAGAATAAAAAGCAAAAAGATAAAGCGCACTCCTGTGAGAAGGACACACTTCAGGAATGTGGATGATATGGAATGGTGTGCAATGCTCCTCAATACAGGGAGAGGAACCCTGTAGATCACAAACACAATATAAAGCAAAGGGCTGAGGAGCGCAACTACCTGGGTGCATGCTAAATGAACGTGGTATGGCTAACAATATACACTCATATAAGTGGTGACTTACTTTGCAGTTGGAGTGTCAGCAGGTACTGTATGTCTGAAGGTCCACAGTGGATTGGCATCAGGGGTCTTTCGGTTTCAATGATAAAAGGTGAAGGACTGATGGCTCCTGAACCGTAGATGCGGTAAATGATTGCAGGCACACGTACTCAGCTGGCCAG